ACGCAGAATTAAATAAACAATCCAATATGATAAACCCACTTTGTCAAATTAAACTCCAAACAACAACATTCATGTTTTACCCATGACCCCAAAACAATGGGTCTTATCCACTCATACTAGTGTTCATCCCAAATAAGTTCAATTTCATCACAAAATAGCAAAAACAAGAGAAGAAAAGAAGAACTTGATGGTCAAAACTCCTCCTTGCCTCTTGCCTCTCTATTTCTTGCACTAAACTATGAAAACCTTGATGATTTAACCTTGGGCGAGCTTGACTTTATATAGGTTAAGTGGGTTTCTCTCCAGATTTCTATTTTTACCCCAAATAACATTTTTTCGGACCAGACACGCGCGAGTTCGCGCATGATTCTGTCTCGGCCTTTCTTACGCGCGAACTCTTGTGCGCCTTCGCGCTTTTCTTCGCGCACCTGGAGCTTGATTTCGTCCATTTTTTCATCTCGTCCTTGCGCGCACTCAACTCCGAAGGGTTGTTCTTGCTCATAAATCATTCCAATATCCTCTTGAAAGCATCATATAGGCTCCTCATTCTACAATGTATACATATCACAATTAAAGCCTATTTTTAATCAATTAACCATAATATGTCATTGGAATATAATCAAGCGGAAGCATAAACAATAGCTAAATCACCTCGATTTCGCCTATTATCATATATCATTTGTAGATCTTTAGTTATAAAAATATTTGATGTGCATATGTTCATGGAACATACTACTATCCTTAAGGTAATATATATATATATATATATATATATATATATATATATATAGCTATTATAAGTTGTACATTAAAGTTATAAAATATTTGCTTAAATATTTAGAATTATTATGAGTAATAATTTTAGAAAATCTGCATGGCTGTTATAGAGGGGTAATTTTACAAAGAGCGTATTGTCATAAAGATGGTTGTTGTTGTTATAGGCAGAATGTTGTTATAGAGAGGTAAAATATAACATAAAAAATCGATTCTGAGAAAAATTAGGCTTTTATAGTGAATGACTGTTACATAGGGATACTGCTATAGAGAGGTCTGAGTGTAGTTATTAGCTAATACCGATATAAATTTTATACCAAGACCTTGATATTAACTATCCCACTTTAAAGGTGGAATTAAAAATCTCGGGATTATGATTCAGGAATTATCAATCCCTAGATATCCAACTTTGGAACCAAACGAACCCTTATGGTTTTACTAGTACCATTGCCTTTTTTATTGGGTAATGGGTACTGGGTATGCGAGAGGACAGTTAAATTTCAAAATACCATTTTCATTTTGAAAAATAATTTCACTTTTTTTTTTTGGAATTTTATGATTCTTATGTCCTAACGACCACTTATTATTTTGACATTTTCTTATTTTTGCCATTACAAGAAACGAGTTTAAATAACTCACTTAAACAACGGTCTAGAATAAAAGATAAAGTTACAACCTCTATCAAATTTTTGTGACACATGAAAAAGGGAAAGTTTCACAAAATAGTGCACTGAGCTTTCGCTATGCGTAGGGGTTCAGGAAGAGACCACAACATGTTAATTATATGGTCTATTATACAAAACATTACTTTGCGTGTTAGCAAGAGACAATTATGCACAAGGTTTGGGAAAAGACCATATCATATTAGATCTATTATTATAAAATTGCTTCGCATGTTAGCAAGAGACAATTTCCACGGTTTGACTCAACGACTTGCATTTACCGTACCAAGAGTCTCTCCTACTTAAAGTTGTTTAACGGGTGGGCCGGGTCGGGCCGGTTCGGGTTGAGAAAAAAGGTGACCAACCAGTTTCCGATCCGGGACGATTACCAATTTTTTCAAATCGGGCTTAACGGTTATGGGTCCAAGGGGTCGGGTCGGGCCGAGCTAATGTATTTTTTTTGAATTTTGTATAACTATCGTAATTTATATTAATATAAAGTAAAAATAAAAAATAAAAAACAATCTTATAAAAAGAGTATTTGAATAAAAGGACGCAAAGGCTTTAAAATACTTATATTTGAAATTTTGAATATTTCGTTAAGAATTTAAGATAATAGAATACAATGAAGATGGAAAAAATTGCACTTATAATTTGCAACTGTTTTTTTATTATTTCAAACTTACAAATTAAAGTTTACATTTAACAACAAGTAAATTAACGAAAACAGAGTAAATTCAAAGGTTTTGCATTGCCTTAGTAAGTTCTTCATAATCAATATGAACTTCTTGGCCATCTTCTGGAGTGTTACATTCAGATGGTATCTCCAAGTTCCTCGTCTTCTGGTCTATCAACATCTTCACGTCCCTGATTTCTTCGTTCCGATCTCATCCAATCTCTGAAACATAATAAAACTTTCAAAGCATTGCTTCCCAATGAGTGTCGGGTGTCTCCAAGTTATTGTCTTGCTTGACTAAATGCACTCTATAATGCAACAATTGAAATTGGCACATTCAGCACATCCCGAGCCATAACGGAAAGAATAGGAAATTGCTTTTCATTCTCATGTCACCATCCCAACGGTGAAAATTCCTTTGTGCGAGACTCTTTTTGCTTTTGCAAGTAGAATTGAAGTTTATCAATGTTCTTGCTACTGATTTGAGTGGTAGGAAATGTAGACCAAATATTAAAACCATCAAGGCCTTCATCATCATCCATAGTAGTATAATGGTGCAATGTATAGTGAGATTAACATTGCCTACATTAAGAGCAGTAGCATCAACTATATTTGCATAATAATTATATAATTATTGTAAATAATCATTTAGCTTGTTCATACAAGAATTTATATCTGGGGTTTCAGTTGGTCTAATCTCCATATAAGTATATAGAGCATTGATTAATTGGTGACAATCAGACATCTTAATAGAAGGATTTAAAACAACACCATTAAGTAAATCGGAGGAATTGGAAAGAAATATTTTTTGAATTTTGCTTGCATTTTGCTCGGTACACTTATTCTTAAATTCTCTAATTCTAGATTGTCTATTATTTCCTTGAATAACATCAACTGCTCTTCTAACATGAGTAATCTCAGTTGAAAATAAATCAAGGCCACTTTTAACAATTAATTATAAACATGACATGCACACCTAACATGAAAAATTTCGTCAAGTGGTGGTTACAAATGCAGTCTTAATATTGAAATTGCGACATTATTGTTAGAAGCATTATCAAAAAACATGCATAGTACTTTTTTCTTAAGATTATAAATTCAACAACTTCGCAAAATAGTAGTACTTATAAACATAGTAGTATGACTTTGATCTTCATTATATTTAAAAGCGATAATACGTTTTTGCATACAATAATTATTATCTATCCAATGACATGTAATTGTCAAATAATCATTTCCATTAACAGCATGGCCAATATCAGAAGTTAGAGAAACTTTACAAGGAAGGTAGTCAAACATATAACGTATGTATATTTGATATCGTCCATGGAGTCTAAAGATATCATATCTACAAGTACTTCTAGGGATACCTTTAAATAAAAGATTATAAATCCTTTGAATATACATAATAAGATATGATGAAGAAGCAAAAGAAAAAGGTAGACAACCCAAAACAATCATTTTTGCTAATTCCTCATGATCCTTTATTTTATCATATTTCATAAGTCATCCAATACTAGGGTTTAGAGTTCCTTGATTTTCATCTAAATCAGAGCCTCATTCTATAGGATGAGTAATTCTCATATGTTTACTAAGTGTCCTAGTCCCCCCTAATTGTCCTTCAGTCTTATGTTTAAAATCATCTTTACAATTCTATCAGTATTCTCTATTTCGTCAAAAAATTCCAAACCTTACTTTTTTTTCTCCGATTAGTAGTCGGGCCCACAAGTGGTCTACTACTACCACCACGACCACCCCTGCTACCAACTCCAACACTACTAGGTGTAAGTGGTGTCTCCTCTTCAACTTCTAATTCATTATCTTCTATACCGAAATCTCCCTGTAATTGTTCATAATCTATATTATTATCAGGTAATGTTTCAGAAACATGTGTAGAGTCATTTAAATTGCTACCGAATGTTGAAGTAGTACCTTTTTTTCTATCTTTCTAATTACCCCGATTAACAACCTTATTACAAACTCTTTTTGCAGCATTAAACATATTGTGAAAATTTAACTACTAGCAAAAATTAAATATTCAAATAAAATAATAAATAAGAGAAAGAGTTGGAGGGAGTGCACCAAATTCGTCAATAAATTGAACACTTGATGATTTCGCAACTCCAATGTTACCACGAAGAAACGTCAATTGTTCAAAGTTTGAAGTTCAATTGTTCAAACTTCAAATAATAAATAATACGATAAATTAAATTCCAAAAAAAAATGAGAACCAAATAGTTTATTGCAATTTAGGTGAAGAATAAGAGAATGATAATTGAGAATATGAGTTTGAGAAATGAGAGATGAGTGAAGAAATGAAGAGGAGGGGTGTGTATTTATAGTTTTTCAAAGGGCTAAATTAGTAATTACCAAAAGTATAATTTTTTTTTATAAAAAAGGCTATTTTTGCAATTAACCCATTGGGCAACGGCCAAATTGAAGCTGACCGTTGCCAACGGTCATATCACTTTTTTTTTAAAAAAATCAAATTTATAACCGTTGAACCGATTCGGGCCGGTTAACCAGTTCAACAGTATTTTTGTTGACCGGGTTTGACCGGTCCGGTTAACCAGATTTTTTTTTAAACGGAGCAACCCCTCTAACCCAGCCCACCTGGCCCCCTAACAACCAATCTAGGCCGGTCCGGAAACGGGTCAACCTGGCCCGTTAAACAGGTATACTCCTACTTTCACCCATCTCTCAACCATAAAAATTATAAGAATTGAACGGATCAAAGTACACCAACATTAGGCAATGTCACAAGCCTTTCATTTCTTGTTTTATTGCAGCAAGTCAGCAAGTCAGCTGGTTTTTGTTTTCATGATTATAGTGAAGTTTGGTTAGCATACTTGCAGCAGCTACAAATCAAAATCTGTTATACACCTAAAGAACAAATAAGCTTCAAATTCAAAATGAATATCAAGAAAATAGGACCATGTATTGGTAATTTCATCAGCACAAATTGAGTATCAAATATACTATATGTTTTCTTCACCACATATAACACTTCATCCAATTTGAACCAGTCTATATACTTATTCATTGCTTAATTTCTAAGTCTTTTTGCATGAACTATTGATCAAGGTTGTCCAAGAAGTGAAGGCCTGTAGAAAGCATGGCTCTGCGCAATCTCAATCCGATCGCGCGGATCATTCAAGTTTTCATCCCTCAGTGCCTGAAGAATTGCCATTGGCCCTTGTTCCCTGGAAGTACAAAAACCACATAGAGATGTTAGCGCTTAAAAATGGAAAATTTCTCATCATTCTCGTTTTCAAGTTTTACTAGCATGGTAGCAGTCCATTGGTTATGCACGTAAATATAAGAGTTTTAACTTATATACATTGAATGCGTAAAAGAACTAAACTATCACGTCACGTAAACGATAACTATAGGTAATTGTCCGTAACACGTGGAATCAGAAACCAGAAAACAAGGCAAACAACCTGATAAAACATGTTACATTACACAGTCACAGACACTGTAAAAGCTCTTTATATTGTTAGTGTAAAATAAGGGCAGTCAGGTGCACTAAGCTCCCGCTATGCGCGGGGTGCGGAGAAGGGCTCGACCATAAGGGTCTATTGAATATTGTTAGTGCATATAAGTTAAATTCTAATTATAGAAATAACAATAATTCCTGAGCAGCTGTTTTTCTTCTTCTTTTTGAGTTCATATCATGGAATTAGCAACAAATTACAAGCAACATTTTTTATGTTCTGTTGTGCAAAGACTTACCTTTTTATGAGTATCTTGTACAAAGTCTTCAAGATGGGGCACAGCTCAACTGGGGCGACCGGCTTATTCTCTCCGGGATGTAACACATTCAAGCTTGACTGACTTAGAAGTTCATAGAAAGCTCCAACAGCAGAAACTCCCTAAACACGAAGTAAGAGTATGTGACCGCTTGGAAAGTCGGGAACTTAGAAGCTATTACAGTAAGACATAGAGCTGAATAACTTGATGCATTTATGAATGAAAGAGGAAATTGCTTGGAAAACTTCAGGATCGACAATCAGTGGCAAATCCAAACGTTGAGTATACATTTTCACTGTACAACCAGAATCAAAATGATTGGTGAAAAGCATATTATTTCAGTAGTTTATCTTTGCTTTCCATCTGTAAAGGAAGAGAGGCAAATAACTCTAATCCACATATATTAAGAGTCTTATGCACATGATACATTGTAAAAAGAATGTTTATCATGTATTTTAGACTATATAAATATGAGTTTTCAAATAATAACAAGATCTTTTGTCCATGCGAAGGGGATCCTTGGTGTAACTAATAAAGTTGCTTCCATGTGACCAGGAGGTCACGGGTTCGAGTCGTGGAAACAGCCTCTTGCAAAAAGAAAGGATAAGGCTGCGTACAATAGACCCTTGTGGTATGGCCCTTCCCCGGACTCTGTCGGGCTGCCCTTTAACTTTTGTCCATGCCAAAATCAAAGGCATGTATGTGTTTTCAGTTCATTTTGCAGATTACCTCTTGTGATATGATTGTCTGAGGTACTCGGGGATCTAATGTGGTAACAGAAGAATAAGCTCAACCTCAAAACCAATTTGTTTTACTAGCAAGTGCACGACGGCATAAGTATTGTTATGGTACAAAATCAGTCTTCTACAACACCTTAGCATTGTTTTCGAAAGAAGAAAATGAAAGACCAGTTCTTAAATTTGGTGTACTCTTGAGAGCAACAAAATGGGACCAGAGATAATAAAAAATGAATACCTGGATTGTTCCTTTGCCGCTAATGCTATCACCCATATCAAGGCTCAATTCTCCCTTAGCTATCATTTGACCATACCAAGCATTACGACCTTTCAACAATGTCACATACGTATCAGCTAGCAAAGGCCCTGCAAGCCTTTCTGGTTCTTCCGTCAACAAATATGTAATGAATATCATCTCCGATGTACAATGTGCAAAATATACTGATTTGCTCGTAGCACTTTCATTTGTTAGCGCAGCTACCATCCCTGGAATCAAAAACAAGGCAGAATATAGTCATAGAATTCGCGTTAGATTCCTAATTTTAGCTGGTTTCTTAATAATAAAGCTTGCTAGAAAACAGATGAAGAATCAAATAGGAATGGATTTAACCTGAAGAATAAAACCCTCAGACAAATGAACATTGAGATCGGCCAGGACTTACCAGCTCCAATGGCATAGACATTCTTCAAGCCTCCCATGACTTCGTGTGTTACAAGGTCGCTATTGTCCCAAACAATAAAATGAGGTTGTCTTAAGAACTTTGCTAGTGGTTTTCTCCATTTTTCTGATCCGCAAATCCTAGCATTGGCATACTCTTTGTTGTAAATCTCCGAGGCGATATTTGGTCCACCAAGATAAAGGATGTTCTCTACTGGTATTCCAGCTGCAATGAACAGACGATATTGTTAAGAAACTGAAAAGGCTAAGCTTTCTTCCTATTCTTTTACAACTACTAACATATCGATGAATGACTTCCATTTGTCTTTTCCGTTATATCATGTTTCTGAGATAGAGGTGATGCATTAGAAGATATAAAGCGATGTCTGCAATCTCGTGTTAAGAAATGTCTAAAGCTACTCTCAACTTGAGAAACAAAGATCCACATTTTAGACCAGAATCAGAAAATTTCAAAATTTCTAGAATTGTTCCCTAGTGACAAGTTTTAGTTTGTTTAACAAACATAAAGATTCAAACAGCGACGAAGCACACCATATTGCACTGCATATTTTCTAAACAATCACATTTCATACTGAAGCAAATTCTATTTCATTTCTATTGGTTAAGTAAAGATAAGCCGGAAACAAGATTTAAAGCTAGGCAAAGATAAAAGCTTACTTGCCCGATTAATCATCTGCGTAGGAGTAATAATATGAGGAACTGGATCTAGTTCAGCCTCAATACCCTTTGCCAAAGAAATGATAATTGGTACAGTTAGTCTTTCCTTCCAATACTTGCTGATCTCCATAAACACATCTCGTGTTTCAGTCGAGGGCAATCCGTTAATCACAACATCAGCATCCCAAACAGCTTCTTGCAAGTTAGTCACAACCTTCAATGGACAAAGTGGTGTATCGATCATGTTTAAGCAGAAACCATCTTTCAAAATCTCATCTGCATATAGTGTCCGATCGCCTAATCTTGCCTCGACGTACTTGAGATATGCACATCTCCTAATCAACCTCCTTAACACATCCTCCCTTGAATTGATCACCTCAAATAAATGTTCCGCTGTCGCTCTATCTACAGCTCTACCTGCCCTTCTCCATATCCTAAGCTGAACCTTATCGCGAAATTGGCCGTAACTATCTTGGAGTAAAGCTGCAAATACACTGCCCCAAGCACCAGCACCAACACAAACAATTCTTAACAAATCACCATTAGCCTTACCAAGAATTTGTCTAAGTTCATCAAGTTTCTCCTCTAGGCCATTATGATTGTGTACATTCCCATTTGAGTACACATAATTTCCACTTTTCACCTCAATACTACCAACCATTTTCTTTCAAATAAACACCAATAACTACAACCCCACAAATCTTTACACAAAAAAACACCCTAAACACCTCAAAAAAGTATATAAAGAAAGAATCTTTAAACCTTTAATATCACCCCTTTTTCAAGATTTATCTCCACCAATGAATTATATACTATTGTCAACAATACTATTTCAAGAATTTGGAGAGAAATTAAACAACCCCTTCTTATAAAAAGAAGCAAAACCCCTTCTTAGAAATTATATTGACAAAAAACTATTCATACATATAAAGTTTTCTTGCCTAGCTCATTCCCCCACATTAACTAAATTCTTGAAAAATTCTTCAATTTTCCACTTTCTTCCAAGTTATGATAACCACAAAAAGAGGAGAATCTTTTTACAAGTAGAAATTCTACCTAAATCAGAACTAATTTTCCTCTCTCCTTATCTTTTTCAAACCAACTAATTCTTTAAAATTTTCTTCATTTCTCCACTCCCCAAAGCAATAAAGAAGCTGACAAAACACTATTATGGATAATATAGGCTACTAATAATTCTTTAGCAACACAAAACAAAGAAGAAAATACTATTTTTGTGAACTTGGATTTTGCAGACAGCTTTGTATTGTCCGCCTGAGTTTGGTTATCTACCCAACAAATAATTTTTCAAAAAAAAACAAAAAAATCTTTTACGTGTCGGATACTACAAAGATTAAGTCAAAACCCCAAGAAAATACTCAAACAAAGATTTAAATCAAGAAAACAAGAATTGCATGCAAAATGTACAATTTTGCAGCAAAATAATGGTGACACTATTCATAAAAATAGTTCCATATTTGGTACATATCACTTTTTTACAAGATATAAATACAAATGCATGTGTATATAGGTATAATTAAGGAGGGGGGGGGGG